GAACTTTATGCATTCTGGTCAAAGGATTTACAAGATTTTCTGAAGCCTTCAAGGGTGACCCTTGCGGGAAGCATTCGCGAATGATGTCATGTAATAAAGGTCACATTGATTTTGGAACTCTACCTTATAAGTTCAGGTTGCACGACGATCCGATCGTTATTGATCGTAAATAGTAGAAATAAAGTATTTAACTGTGCTCAATAAATGTTAGAAATGCTATCATGGCTCTTTTAAGGTTGAACATTTAGAACATCAAACTACTTAACACTCCTCAGGAACGAAATTTGGGTGTTACCTTCTACCCACGTGTCTCAACCAGTATACAAGTTAGAAAAAGCTCTTTGTCATGCGCGACATACACTACAATCGGAGGCTTTGAAGTATGGGGCTGCTTCTCGAGCTGTATTAAAAAGCTCGAGATGCAGAGTCTGTCTAAATCCAGTTCAGCAGGGTGAATTCGGGATACGGTAATAGATGCCGAGTTTGTTCAAGAAACTGATCACACCCGTGGTCGTTGGATGAGAATTTGTGAGTGTTTACTTCCTGAACAAAGCGTAGAATCTTAGGATCTCTTTGTTGGCTTCAAATGCCGTCTGTTCTAACAATCAGAGATCAAAGTTAAATGACAATGGGTATAAGGTGACGAGGGAGAGAGATCAACATTGTGGTTGTTCGTTTTTGTATGTTAACTGCAATTAAAAATTACCTTATTCACTATTTATTCAACTGGATAAGTGCTACCAGTTTGAACTTTAGGCAATAAAACATGTTGATCCCAGTTTTCTTTCGGTGATATGCTGTAATTCATAATAAACGGTTTGTGTTGCTTTGGGTATTTGTCTATTTTCAATTGTATTTTGCATACTTTGCTGGCATAGAATATTAGGTTATAAAAAATAGTCTTTATATTGAATAAATTTCACAGACTGCGTAAAAAGGTATTCTCGGTGTGATAAAGCGAGTTTTAACTTTTAAAAGCAGTGAAATTACTTTGATATGAACCTAGATTGGCCATGTGATGTGGAGAAAACATACCACGACAAATATAACAACTACTGAACACAATTATTAAGTTAGGTTCCTTAAATTTTATTTTTTCCTGATTTCAAACACAACGTGCTGCATACCATAATTAATTATTTGTACGTATAAGCATTATTTGTAATTATTTTAAAACAGATGATATAGATATGGATTGCGATAAACATATTGGTGGTCTAAAATGATGTTTACACTGCTATTTTTCTTCAGATTTGTGCTCAAACTAGGTGAAATTGAACTTCCATTATGTCGACTCCTTTGGACGTCGATACACCTCAGACGGTTCATCACGTTATTTCAAAGCTGCGAGCAAAACTTGACCCATTTGGTTTTGAACTGTCACCTTTTTTAGTCGGCTGGTATAATGAACTAGTTTCGATGAAAATGCGATTGGATGCACCTTCTCCCGATTGTGTTGCCCTGTGTTTGATCAGTTCACCTTTGATGTTTGAATCAAGCTTTTTGCCACTCCTACTCAGTTGGTTTGAACAAGAAAATGTGAGAACTTTGGAAGACGTCTTGCAAAATTTGCGATCCCAGGAAGCCCTAAAGGTGAACCTTCCTGGCCTTAATGATCCGTTGGATTGGTCCGTTTTCATCAGAGTGAGCAATATTTTGAGATGTGTGCAGGAGGAGATGAAATCTATACTCACAGAAAAAGAATATAAAACTGTGGATTCTTGTCGTTTTATACCGGACTACAATGTTCGATCCGTCAGCAGATTACCATTGGTGCATGTTCAAAGTGCCGGACATGTTTCGGGTGCTGCATATTATCACCGAGTTAATATAAAAATAAAAGAACTGAATACGACCATTGGATGTAGTTTACATCCTAAATATGGTGGCTGGTTTGGATTTCGGTGAGTTGAAAGCTTTTCGTTTGGTCAAGTTTACATTTTACTTTTAACAACCGAAATATCGATGATTTTAACGCTTAAGACACCAAACAGTCACAATTACCGTCAATACGTAGATCACAAATGGACTGGACATCTTATTAACAGAGAACTGTTTAAAAAACGTAAGGAAATTTTCAGAGGAATAACACACAATACATATTGTTTGCGTGGCTTTATGAAAACGTTTAAGTTTAAACATAGACAGCTTTCAAACGTTCAGTTTTCTACACAGGGATTCTGAATCACATTTATTGCTAAACATCTGTTCTCCCACTAAGAGGTGACGGAACAAGAAATTGATACAAATTGGTTTGCGAGTTCAATTAAGGCCAATCCTCTACATTCTCATCTGGCTGTTTGCAAATGTTTTCAACTTCTTTTCTTTCTCAAACAAGCTAGTCTCATGTGAAATTTACTCAGATGATAATAACATTACCAAAGCACCTAGGTGGATGTAATTAAAACATTATAAATTAAATAACCTTGAATGAACTTATAGACACGGGCAATCGGGCATCATCAAAGATTCTCACAGTCCCTTTAAGTGATTCGTAGTAGCTTGCATACCTGAACTATACCACAGGTTTGGTCAGTCGTGTGAAATGAATACCAGGATAAATCAAACTAGTTGTAGTGTGAATATATTCAACAACCAACAGGAGAAGATTAAATAAGGCTAATAACTTTCACTCAGAATGTACTCATGTATCCAAAGACCTTTGTATATGAAACACTGTGAAACACTTATCAACTTTGTTGAGTTTGAACGGAAGGAATCAAAACATTCTCTATCCTTCACACTAGAACTGTTGATCTACCTGCTTGCAAGAAATCACTTTACATTCCAGCTAACAACCTCAATATTCGGAATAGATCGTGTTAGTACAACCAGTCAATTTACAATGTTCAAAACTAAGGAGGAATATGTCTGTTCACAAGTTGTTTGCAGTATATCCAAACATACAGCTCGAATAACTTTGCCAAACACTGATGCTACATCTCGTTAAGGTGACTGTTTCAACAATCATACTGAAGCCAATTTAGAGCATCAATTCATCTGCTTATTGTGATGTGCACTCCAAAGAGACCACGTTGAAAAGATTTGCTGTGTATCCACACTCACAAATGCTACAAGCATACTCAAAAGAAATGAATAACTCGGCAACTTGTAAAAGGAATTGTCAGTTCATAGTATTCAGAATGAACACGATTAATTCTGACCTTGAGTTTCAAGATAAGACATAGAGAAACGTCCAGTTAACACTGATAGCGCTCGATAAGCCCATTTAGTAACCCGTAATATTTCAGGAAGCGCTTGATGAAGCAGCCTATCAACTTCGCGAGCTGAACTCGTCGACTTGCATTACTCAAGGTGCTTAAAGTGGTACCATTCAACAGTCAAGGATGGATCTGTGAGCAAGAAGGTCAACAGTGTGTGTGAATGGACCAGGGATTGCACGTTTCATTGATATCGTCAATAACGGATTAGTTGTTTAGCCCATTTTTTATATCACACCTTGGTGTGATGAACAACAGACGGGGTAAACCGCATAGCTACGAGGACCTGTTGTTTAGTGATGGAAGCCAGCAACCTGAGCTCCAGGACTTGGAGTGGCGAACCACATACCCCCCCCCCCCGGGTTAGGCGTGGTACTGAACCGGACGGCAGCACAGATGCCTCCCACCAGTTGGGTGGTGGTGGACGGGGCTCGAACCTCGGACCATAGGGCCTCAAGCATATCGGTGACAGCGACTAAACCACTGCGCCACCACCATTAGCCCCACGGCCTGAAGTAGACTCCAATGTTCATCCAACCTATCTACGTTATTCGTTCATCGAGCTCCGCATTCATAGACCTTGGAAAAAGCATTGGGTAGAATGACTGTTTAGTTTACCGATTACGAGCCAAGAACCAATTTGAATGGTTGGTACATCAAAACGGTGTCTTATTTCCCTACAACGTGTCTCGTTTAACCCACTTTATTGAACAGTTTTCAATTGCATGTCGTTCCTATATCCGTACACAGATGAACTTATTTCTTATTTCATATTAAGAAAACACCTGCAATTCTCTAACATTTGCAGTATACCAGTTTTCATTACGTAATCATTATTATGCGAATATCATTTAGTGCGGTTCTATCCAGTCATGTCGTCCTATTCTTTCTCTCAAATCAAAATATCTTTGGGTCATTGCTCAAAAACCCACGGTAATTTCGTGAATATTCATATATAGTCTTCTTTTGCAAATTTTCGACATATTTACTGTGAGTAGAAATCTCATTTAGAATAAACCGAATTGACGGCAAGTATGATTCCTACTCACGGTTCACTTGTATCATCCCAATTTATCAAAGCCGAACAAGCAGATCAATGGTCTACAGTTCTCTGGTTTCATTATCTTGTTTTTAATTAAATAGCAGAAATGGTAAAAATCTAATTTAATCATTCTGTTGTCTTTGATGTCCTGTTTAGCGAAACAAAGAAGAGAATTTTGAGGATCAAACAAAGTGAATAAGTTTGAGAATAGGGTTCTTTACTGCCTGAGTTATAGATAATAAGAGGTTGGAGAAAAGCAGACTGGCTCTCGCGTGTCATATTTAGTATGATCGTGGTGCCATAGGTTTTTATCAAGAATGATAATATAAGTACCTTAAACCGTGAAAAATGCACATAATGAAATTCTGAAGTCTACGAGTTGTGCCTCTTAGTGATCTAGAAAACCGGCAGCTGTTTTGACAGTTTGGATCAAAGTAAGTTGAATGTGGAAGCGTTCTAAAAAATTATATTTCTTTCTTTATACAATTTTTTTTCATTGCAATGACTGTCAATGCACTACGCGCCTCCAAAATCGATTGGTCTAGTGTTGATTTCGGTTCTTCTCTTAGATAAAGGATTTTAAGTCTCATTAAATTAGAAAAAGATGGTTTCATGACTAAATAAAGCAATCCCAACTGCATGTTACCATGGGGACCTATCAAAAGTTATAATGAGCACAGAATAAAAAGCTCGCCGTAGTTTTCTTCATCTTCGTTCCTTTTAAATTTGACTGTGTCAATTGTAGAATTTGATTCTTAATTTTGAAATCCCTACTAGATTACAGTTTGCGAATTTCCGAAGTTCATCTGCTTGCATCATATTGTAAAATAAAACACTAAATGAGTGGGGGTTTGTGGGATTTAGCACCTTTCCAGCTGCCCCAAGGGCATGGCATTTTAGAGACTTGGCTGAAATCATCCGGGTCTATGCAACTCAGGCTAAGTACACTCAAGTTGATAGCTTCTGCTGCTTCAGTGTTATTTGGTCAGTTTTACAACCTATAAATTAGGAGGATTGAAGATGTTTTGCCTGCCCCCTTGCAGTACCATGTTTATTCGTTTTAGAGTGAAGAAATCATAATTCTGACTATGTGTGACGAGAAAGGTAGTTTGTTGAAATGAACATATTTACCTCTGTGGTGGGTACACGGCTTACTGGAGAGAATGAAAATGGTTATTGTGCAAGCTTCATGAGAGGCATAATTGGCAGTAATGTAATTTGTTGAGTTCATTTTTACCCCCGCCAAACATTCTCAATAAGTCTATTTAAACAAAGGCTGTTTATAGTGTGTCCAGTGTCAGGTGCATAATACAATCAAGGGACTAGTTTGTACGAGCCTAAACTGCCACAAGTAGTTTACATAGAAGAGTTGTGTGCATAACCAAGTACGGAACAGTGAAGAGAGAGAGAGATTAAGAACATTGTCTACCCAGAGCAACCACTAATTTGAATCAATTTATATTAGACACACTGGGATCCGTTTCAAGGGGTTGAACGGAATATTGGGAACTGGATAATTTCTACATATGAATGAATTTGCTGAAATATGAGCCAAATGACAAAGGTTTTGTGAATAACTTCCCTCTAGACTTAAACCTGATATTTTGGAATAAACTTATCACCTAATACCTCACGGTCCATACTCCTTTATTTCTAACGGATTTGTAGGTGAATTTCCGATTAGTGATTTCAAACATTTACTCTCCCGTTTTTGTTGTTGTTTCGTATTTATTACGCGGATTGTGTCGTATTGTGACATCTTAAATTGATATTCGGACATCTTAAACTGAAAAAGTTCTAGTGTGAAACGAAACAGTTGGGGCACGGATTTGATACTTCTTTGACATTGGAAGACCTCAAATAGTGAGCCACAGTGTGGTTAGTTGAGTCCAGTGTGTTTTATTTTCCAGCACAACAACAAGCAAGGAAGCACAGATATAGTGTGACGAAAATATATTTCCTGGGTACAAGTATATGAATGAACGGAAAAGAGATTACCGGATACGAATATACATCAGGCAATACTCGTATGATTCTCCTCAGATGAGATCAAGCGGACCATTTTGAAACATAGGAATTAACAAACATTTCCCGGGGTTTATTGGTTGTCATATCCAAGTGGTTTGAGTAGAATTTAATGCTTAGGTTAGGTGTTACACAAGTCTCATAGTTACCTCTTTGTAATTGTCTTTTTCAGTGTAGGGGTAGGCAAGTTTAAGTAAGTTAATGACATGGGAAGAAGGTACAAAGAACCCCACACTGATACTGGGTAGACTCCGGTGTTTACCACGATCATTTACCCTTCTACTCCGGTTTTTAAGCCTGATTTATATACTAAATGGTCCATATTTACGTCTCAATAACAAGAATTTGATGTTTTGATCAGGTTATACAGCCCAATATGGAAATTTCCGAAGACGGGAGCACACTCATCTCATCAATAAGGGATACTAAACATTCAATGGTTCACTAATCCACCCGTACTTGCAACAACCCAAATCCAATTGGTATCGTTGTATTGTACAGTTTGTGTAAGTATAACAGCTCTGGTCGAAAAAACTTCAGATATCAACCATCACATTGAACGCGTGGCACGAAAAAAAATAATGATTTATAGAGACCATAAAAATAACTTGTTCTCCAAGGTTACCCAATCACTGTTTATGGTCTCACTTGCAAGATGAGGCACACCGAATTGCGGTAAACATTTATATTAGATGGTGTACATCGGAATTCAAGGTGTACTCCGGGATGGACGTAACAGCATGATAATTCACTGTGCGTAGAGTCCGTAAGGTTTGCGAGAATCCTTGCGGTAAAGATAAGACCAGAAGCTAGATGATAATCAAAACGTGGTCTAAATGAATCATTTACATTTATTAAAAAAACAGGACCAATAACCGTTAGACGTCAGTTTAAGTATTTATAATCCTGTTTATATAAATGGAGGGAACATACAAGAGAGGCGAATTACATACGTAAAAAGCTGCAATTCATGTATAACTCATCACTACTTCCCATTCCATTGCAGTCCAAATCAAACTCCGATCCGAGCCCCTCTTTGTAGCGTAAAGTGTCTCGCCTCTACTTGGCTGTGAGCGAAAGCTAAAGAACCATGAGTAAAACTTAAAATAAAGATGATCAAAGATGGAATGATTACAGAAAACACTTCAGATGTTTCATGTCTCCCGATCAGGGTTCTACTTTCAATCTATTCACTCTATTCTCTTCTGAAGTCACTATCAGGGACTAGGCATTTCTTGACAGGGTAGACAACGGCAACGTATTGTCTTTCATGCGAGAGCATAAGAAACAGTTTCATTCATGTTTTGTTATAACCTGTATTGTTAGCGAATTCCAGTTGTTTTCACGGAGATCACTCTAGTGGTCCACGTTGTTCCTTTACCAAACTAGGTGCATATACGGTCAGGTTGTCACGATGATACACCTAAATAGAAATTCCACGCGGGTGAAATCAAGTTGTTCTCCGTATTTGTTTATGTAATTGCCCGTTTTCTTTTCTCTTCTATCCCCCTTTGACCTCTTTTTTCCAGTGGTGTGATCCTTTTTCCAAACTTGCGCTATCCGCAGTTGCCACGTCCAGTAACACGCTCTTCACTTCCTCCAGGAATTCCACCGTTTGACACAGATGCATTACGCACATTGGTCACCGAGTATCGAGAACACTGGCGCGAGAACCGCTGGCGTAGTACAGGTTTGGACGAGTTCACTGAGCTGCGTTACTCTACAACCGCATGCTCATTTTTCAACACTCCACCCGCTCTTCGTGCTCAGTGGGTAGAACGTTTGATTGCAGGTACGAAACCCATGTGTTCAACCCAACCTGTTACCCCGTCCACACTCATACGGGACCAGTTACCTCTCACACACCCAGCTTGAGTATGTTTTGTTCATTCTTTTGCTACTTCAGCCTTTGTCTTTGGGGTGTAGATTAGTTGTCCCAGGTTCTTTGTACAGTCAGTCTACCTACCATCGTTATGATAGTCATTCGTTTTTACTACAGTGCCTATTCCATACCCTGTTATATTTTCATCAAACGGGAGTTTGACTTTTTGCTCCCCAACCATGTTTCTTCCGAAAAAGAACAATACCGTTGTGGACCTGTCGAAACCTCCCAGTGGGAGTACAATCCATCAGTTCACTGTACAGTTTGCTTGTGCCCTATGTTTTGAATTCATCTGCGCACTGGTTTCATCGAGAGCAGCTACTCACACACATATAGTTCATATTTGGTTTCTTTTAGTCCTTTTTTTAATTTTATTAAAAATGTCTTTTTTGACTTCGGGTAGATTTATGTGTGTCTGTGTGTACGAGTTTCTGTGCCCTATTGAGAGTGAATCCTGGTCACTATTCACGAAACCGCTGACAGGAGCGGAGATCTGAAAGGAACTCCAAGCTCTGAAACGCCACAAGGAAGCTGGATCAGACTGATCGCCATCTGCCCTCTTGAAAGATGTTTGAGAATTTCCCGTGAGAGACTTTGGGAGACAGCTGTCGAAGATCTGGGAAACCGAAAGTGTACCCCACATATGGGATGAATCGATTGTCACACCCATCTACACGAAGGGCTGTCGCAACACCTGTTCCAACCAAAGAGGCATAAGCCTGATTCCAATAGCACCGAAGCTGCTAGCGTCCGTTTTATTACGCGGATTAAGTCCATTTCGTGAAAGCCAAATTTGCAAGGAGCAGGTCGGGTTTCGTGCACGCTGTGGTTGCATAGGTCAAATCCTCACCCTCTACCAGCTGCTTGAACACAGCCACACATACAGACGGCAAACTATTGTTCTGTTTTCTGAACATCGGAGTGGCCTTTGATTCTATCGATCGCCCAGCACTGCGGAACTATTTTTGGAGGTACGGAATACCCGAGAACTATGTTTTGCTCCTAAAGGCGCTCTTTCGCCAGACCTCGGAGAAGATTAGGGCCTATGATGAACTTTCACCCTCATTTCCTGTCACCAATGGTGCACCACAGGGTTGCCCTATCTCTCCGTTTCTCTTCAACTTTGTCATAAGCGATGTTCTACAAAACGCGTTACATGACGTAACGAAAGCTGGCGTCGAGATTTTTCCTGTATCCAGAGTCGTAGACGTAGAGTATGCCGATGATATTATCTTACTCGGTGACAACGCGTCAACGATTCAGGAGTCGTTGAATCGTTTTACGACTGAGGTTACTCGTTACGGTATGTCCTTTGCACCCTCAAAGTGCAAAGTGTTGCTGCAGGAACCCGTTCCTGCACTTTCGTTGAGTAATGACACCCTGGAAGTAGTTGTAAGCTTCTTCTACCTCATGAGTTGCGTAACCGCTCTATGACTGCGAAACCTGGCCTCTTCGATCGGATCACGTCCAACGACTATCCGTATGCAGCAGCCATTGTGTACGTAATATAGCCGGCTTATAATGATGGCATCGAGTGAATAACGATGAAGTCAGACGGTGTGTTTGGACCACATAGTTTTCCTTTGCGCAAAACCATTTCAGTACACCGTCTTAGTTGGCCAGTGCACGTCCTCCGAATGCCTGAGCAACATCCATCACACCGTGCACTATTCGCAGACATCGGTCCGGGATGGAAGAAAAAGCGAGGTGGGCAAGCTAAGACGTAGTGCAGAGGGTTAAAGAGATTGTGCTCAGATTTGGTATCCGTTGGGGCTTCCCGGCTCCCCTAGAGGGGCCCAAAGATTCAGATTATCTTTGGCTGGAGACATTGCGGGATCGAATTGAAGTCAATAGAGTGAATACATCCTTTCCTGTATGCGATACCAAAAATAAACAAAGATAAAAAAAGACTCCAAATGACGTGCAGTAAACAAACAAAAAAAAAGCGTTTGGTACTCCCCAAGTTAACTGTTTTTCCCGCGTTGTTCGTATAATTTGTCCATTTGTATTTTGGCGCCTTATTTGTAAAGAACCTGGGAAGCGTCAATGGCTCATATTCAACCACAAGTGTGGCGCGGATACTCAAACGATGAACCAGAGTCAAGCAATGGTCAGTCGGTTATCCTTTCTTTATTTCGAGTGCAAAATGGTTCCTGTCAGGTACCTCAAAGGTTTCAATGAAATAGCTGCACAATGGCTAATCGAATTCTGGGTTCGAGACGAAAGCTCATTTAATGGAATGAATTTCGCTCATAGGCTCTCTATATTGAAGGATGACACGCTAAATGGAGTATGTTTGTTCCCTTGTGGAACATTCGCATGTGCCCATGTTTTGTTTCCTATCGAAGATGACACCAAAGAGATTGCATTGGACGAATAATTAATGATCTGAACGAATAAATGACCATTCTTTATCAAAATCATTTCAAGGAGCGAAATGAAATCAGCGTATGATCTTTACTTGAAAAAGGAATATTGTAAAAGTGGCTCCACTGCGATCTACGCAGAGTTGTTGGCGGGCTATTTGATGATAAACGAAGAGTTTGTTCGGTGGCCTCCAAACAGTTGGATTATCGATACTGTGATGTCAATAGGTTGTTGCGTCGGAGTCAGGAACTGTACTCTTCAAATTCCTCGGCTCAAAAAGAATCCCATACCCATTTTTTTCAACAACGGAGTTTACGGTCAGCGATTGTTCAAAAACTACCACGCGACTGATCAGAAGGCGGTCTACCGAGAGATCCGAATGATAGTTCTCGTGGTCAGAAAATAGCCTCTTCTCTACGCTGATTCTAATGTTATTTGCTAGTTGTAATGTGAGTGTGGATGAAAGCTACTTGGGGAGAACTAATCGGCAGTTACGCAACCGAGTCGCTGGCCGAATTCCGACATGAGTACACTGACATATGGCGTAAATTCAGACCGTCCTGGAAGAAATCGCACCCCGTTAGTACTAATACATCACCAATTGTCCGATATCTGCTGATGATGTGACTCCGCATTGCCTGCCATGCGTTGTTCAGAGTCAAGTACAGATTGTCAAATCCGCAACCAATAAAGCTCATTGGAACGGATACAATCAGTTTATGAAAATTTTTTCACTCTGCAAAGAAACAAACCCGCTTTGTTCTGTGTCTTTTACGGGATAAGTTGTAACTTTATTTTGTTGTATGAAGCTACCCGAAAACTTTGTTTAAGGCAGTAGCGTGTCGGTTGATTTACAGCAATATGGATGTGAACATAAATCATACAACATTACCTTACTTTCCTCTTTTTGCATGTTCTTGTTTTGTTCCTCTGCGTCCAAAATTGGATAACCAGTGAGAAAGGGGGGGGGGGTGATGAACAGTGAAGAGAAGGGTGCGTTTTCTTCTCTCACTCTGGTGTTTTGTTTGTAACCATGAGCTACAACAACAGAAAAAACAAAGCCGCAAACCGGAGAATGCGAATTATTTATGAATGTATGTTTCCGCAAGAATCTTGTGGATGGGTTATCCCAATGGAGGATAAGGGTAGTGAATTGTGATCGTTTGACGGAATCACAAACCAGAACTGGATTGTAGCAAGCCCAGGCAGATTGATATAAGAGGATTTAGCTATTATACAACCTATTCTTTTGTTCAGCATAGCGTGTCTAAGTCAGATTATTAAATTAGTTTCGTTCATAAAAAATAGTGGACCCTTTGAATTCTTCTCACAATACTTATCGAGCAAAAACGTAGTAGTACGAAGGTGTCTGCGGAAAACCCGATTGAGTTATGGAGAAAGACACGCATAGGGTTGTTCTTCATTTGAGTCCCATTCATCTGTTTGGATTGCCGGACTAAGCTTTAAGACGTACCAGTGTTTGATACGGTTATGCACTGGCTTACTCACATTTAACTCTCTTCATCCTTTGTTTAATATTTTCTCCCGGTAAGTAACTTTGTTTGAATGCTCTCTTCATGCGCGGTACCACTTTCTTTCTGAATCTTTCAGACATTAGTGCATATAACGCATAACTGAGTAACCTCTAGTTACCAATAGGGGTGTTTTCACGTCCAAAAGACCACTTGCGCATATTGTGTGTGACAAGTAGCACTTAGAAATCACTTCCTTTGAGATAGACCTCGGAGTTACAAAGCAATTCTGCTGGCATATTTTTCATAATGTTAATTGTCCACAACGAAAGATTTTCTGCTTGGTTCTTTTACGTATAAAGGCTCGCAAAACTATTCCGTTTAAACGCACTGTATTGGTATGCTTTACTCCTTTGTCAAACCCTTTCTGAATGGTTACCCCCCATCAGACGTGGTTAAAATTAAAGACCTGTTCTGATCAGGCAACAGGGAGGTAAGCGTCATCAACAGAAAACCTCCAGTTGGGGCACCTACCTGTTTGACATTTATTGACGCGAAACCGTGCCAACTGGAAAACTACAGCTTTGGTACACCCAAACGGCCATTAGCTTGCGACCACTCATACTAGACTAGGCTCTGCAATCAATGATTGAAAACAAAAATAAACATTTATTACACTTGCTCCACTCAGGTAACCCCTCCTAAAACCCGTGACTAGAGGTTTGACTTATTTTTTATGTGATCATGTGTATAACTACGGAACTCTACTCTTTTCTCAATTGGATTTCGGGAGTTCAATTAGAATCCACTCAGCTTGAGCAGGGATTAAGAATGGTCATTTCTTTTGGATTCGACCGAAATCGGGTAGCTCATGCTTTGTATTTGAAAAAAAATAAGTGTGCATTTCTAAATTGATAGCAGTTATTGATACAAATTTTGATGCCTTTTTCTTATTTTGTCTAGTGCCTCCTGCAGGAAACGTTGACAGTTTATTTTCAATTCGAAATAGCATTCAATCACTAGTGGTAACCACAGCACTATTTAAAAAAAGGCCTGCTTAAATTATCATCCCTGTTTTTGTTAGTCAGTAGAGGTATTTAGAAACGAAAATATTGATTCTGTCTCGGGTTTAACGTTGCATATTAGAGCTCTAC